TTGGAGGCCATTGCTATTAGGTTGGAGGCCATCGCTTGTAGGTTGGAGGCCATTGCTATTTTGGTTGGAGGCCATCACTTGTAGGTTGGAGGCCACTGCTATTAGGTTAGAGGCCATTGCTAGTAGGTTATGTCATGCGAGACCGACTTTCCGGCTGGCACGCTTCATTTGTCTGGAATTGTAATTCTACCTTGCGATACCTTTTGGAGCAGAGCACTTTAAACACATAGGCACCGTAAACATGGGCTAAGCGTAGGCTAATACTATACTGTAGGTCTTTGCGTGCAATGAATGCAGGCTGAGGCAGCTCCAGAGCTTCACAAGCGCCCACGCAGAGATCCAGATGGTCCAGGAAATGCCGTCATTTCCTCAGAATGTTGTTTTAGAGGTCAAAGCCAGATAGTCAAGATGCTGTTTTGGAATGATCACGGCAGACAAACTGATTGAATATTATTCTTGGAGTCAGGCTGTACATCCGGGAGCTGGAGCTAAACATGCCAACAATCTTGGGCACTCTGGTAGATGGAAAACTGTAAAGCGACCCGGCCAAATTGGATTGGAGTTGCACACTGGCAAGGAACATTGAGTCTTTTCTTCCACTCTTAAGTTTAGATTCCCAAACAATCTAGGAACCAAATCTCATTAGTGCGAGCGCTTCTTCAAAGAAGGTGCCCCCGCCCTCAGGCGGGGGGAGATTCTTGAAGAAGCGTGAGCTATCCAGCTAGAAGCGAACAGTTACTGGAAGCTAACTAGTCTCCCTTTTTTAATTAAGTAGGAGCGGGCTTTTAAAAAATGTGGAAGACCTATGAGCCGATGAGTCTTGTTTCAGTGGAACTGGCTTTTGAATAGTTTTCCAACAGCCTTCAGGCCGACTGCGATTTGGCCACGCTGGTTTGAGAAGTCGGTTGACGGCTTGAGACCGTTGAGGAGTTTGAAAGCAGGACGGCCAAGACACTTTGTGATGGCCTTGCCGACTTTGCGACCTGCTCTAAGGTTCTTAAGTCACTTTTTTGAAATGTATCCATATATACAAATATATATATATATACAAAAACATATTTACATATATATGTGTATTCTCTTTTTTTTGGGGGGGTAGGCCGCTAGAGGTAGGTAGCAGCTCTAGTAGAAGAGGTAGCTACTACCTACAAGTAGCTACTACCTTGGACGCAGAATAGCTCACGCTTCTTCAAGGAAGCTCCCCGCCCTAAAGGCGGCGGGGGAAGCTTCCTTGAAGAAGCGCTCGCACTAATGATTTGATTTCTAGATTTTTAGGGAAACTTAACAATAAAATACACTTCAACTGGCTTTTGAATCTGGTTTCAACAGTTCCACTTTTGCCAGTTAGGAGACATATTCAGAGCCATACTGCAGAGGCCTGAAAAAGGAGAACCCGTTTGGCTCGCAATCTATCCCCGTGGATGGGTTCATGCATTTCAGTCGAAGAAACAAAAAACGGCTTTGACTCAAGCTCATTGAATGGAGGCAGCAGCATTATTGCTGTTGTTGTTGTTGTTGTTGTTGTTGTTGTTGAGAACTTTGCAGCTAAGGTATGCACATCGGAGGGCGCGCCTAATGTGGTTCCAATTTGAATCTGAGAATGTGAACACTTGTTCCGTTGGATATGAGGCCTTGCCTGGAGAATCTTTTAAATTCAGATTTGGAGACTTTCCCGTCTTGCTCAGTGAGACCTTACACTCCATAGCTATAGAGCACTCAGAGAAGACTGCAAGGTGTCCGCTAAAAGCGGGTGACGCATGTGTGCCATCGCATCCTCTGCAGCGACCAACAGAAAAAGAAGCAGAGAAAGTGAATCTGAGTGGGTGAGCGGATGTGGTAGACCTGACATCGTGGAAGCTGGATACATTTTCATACTTAAACAAAAGCACAGATGCAAAACAAAGCGAACATTAAAAACATCACATTTTGACATTGTTTTTTCTAAAGCTATTTAGTCGGCAGGATTCTCTCGGAGCCGTTATCCTTGGATGAGAAAGCTGGCGTTGGAGGTGGGTTTGCCAAGTCTGGGTCTATCCAAGGTTTCTTGATGGTGTCAAGTCTCAATGCTCCACAAAATCTCTGCATGTCTTGCAATCGAAGGCAATGGCAGTGATGGACCCTCAGGACTCAGATCGGTTGACAGCACATCAACAGACTAACATGCCTTCCGAATTCCCATACCAGTCTGTCTGGAATGTTTCCAGCGTTTGACATAGCTCTACATCAGAGAGCTTTCGAGGACCTTGCAATGCATTCAAACGTTGTCGCGGAGAGGCTTAGGGATACTGATGATGATGTGTGCTACGAGGCCTCTTGGCCTGGTTAGCTAAGCCTTAGTAACTTGCACTCCAGACTTGAAGTTAGTAACTTGCACTTAGCTGTGCCTAAGTGCGCATAGCTTCCAGAAGTCAACTGTCAATAGTTCTATATAAGTTCAAGTCATCCGAACCCAGATGTTGAGATGTGTCTTCTTCATGAACGTCGATGCTCCCTAGGCCATCAGAACAATGAAGCGATTGCAGCCAGAGATCCTCGAGAAGCATGCAGCAATCCTGAGTCGTCTGCTTGCGGATGAGGACTACACGCTCAAGAACTTATTTTTGTTTCTTTGTTCGCTCCACTCAGTGGCAGGTTTCAGAGTTGCAAAAGGGCCAACTTCAGCGCGAAAAGACTAATCGTCTGACATGGTGTTGTGCCAGCAGGACTGGAACGTGCGGCTTGCTGCCCTGAGTGCACTTGCCAGGCTCGAGCAAGAAAGACTTAGAGTACGCTGAAAGACAAAGGCAATCTGTCTGATTATGTGATTGAAGTAAAGTAAAGTTTCAATAAGGACACGTGTCACATGTTACGTAAAGATCATGATTTCCCACACATTGAAAGAGGGGGAAAGAGGGTTTGCACTGATGCTTTTATGCAAGTCCTCTTTCATCAACGAGTTTTGCCAGGTTAGAGCCATTGAAGCTGAGTCACTATGCAGAGGAGCTGAGCATTGCTTTGGAGTTTCTCATTTTTGAGCACGTTATGCTTCTTTATGTCAGGCCATCCAGGATCGATGTGGAGATGAGGTATTGAACTTAATTTGGTAAAGCTGTTTTGTATTATGGAAGAGCTGGCGCCAGCCGACAGGTTCACCAGGTGTCAGAGCTTGCGCAGAAAGTTTGGGCCAGGCGCAAGGGGATCGGGACACCTCATCAGACAGCAAAAGCAATGCAGGAAACGGTGATATAAGAAGACAGCCACTGCATGCGAAACTTGCTGTGGGGACTTTTGGAAAGCGAAATGTGGCCAAATTGTGCCCTCACGACTGCCTTCCTGAATGCAACAACAGTTTAGACTAGCATCTTTCCATCATCAGCTGGCCACTGGTGTTTTTTTGAAATGCTTTGGCAAATGTGTTGGTTCGTCGAGTCAAGCCATGCGGGAAAGAGGCTAAAACATGGTAAATAGCGATGTCTTGCAGGATGTAGTCGAAAGTGCGCTAATGGTTTGCTTTGTGGAAGTTGACAGGAAGGCAGCGTGCAGCACGGTGTTGTTGAGCAACAAGTTTTGCCAGACCTTAAGGAGGAGTTTGTGTTGGGACCTGTGACAAAGCAGATTAGATCTGGCGAGCGTTTTATTTAGATTGGACCTGGCGAGGCTGCTTGAGATGAATTGTCAATGCAGGTATGGAGAGACTGAGAGACGCGTGAGTTACACAGATTTAGAACCCAGATGTAGAGAGTCGAAGAAAAGCCCTTCAGCCGCAATTCTCGGTTCCAGCGCAGCACAGGACTGGCGATGATTCGCAATCCACCCCCGCAGAGGAACCAACAAACCTGGCCACAGACAGGCTGCGTAAAAAGGATTTGTCTCAGTCTCAGAATGTCTCTACTTTCGACGCGTGGTCAAGCATGGCGTGACCAGAGGTCGACAACACCTGCTCAGCTCCAACAAGCTAACAAGCCACCGCAAAGCATGAGCTGCTGACACTTTCAATCCATCATCGTGCCATGCCTCGATTTTGCTGCATTCGCGTGTGGCGGCAACTTTCGGAAGCTAACGCCAGAGCAGCAACTCGTTCTAGCAGCTCAGATCATGTGACAAGAGACGAGAAAAGTGGCCAAGAAGATCTGATGGACTTTGTCGCTGCTGCGGGTGGCGACAAGTCAGAAGAGCCGGTGGTGTGCAAGAAGAAGGGTGCCGCCGATCGGCATCGGTCCCTGCATCTTTGGAGGCATTTGTCGCTATCTGGGCTGGAGCCACACGGTTGATCCAGGGCATCGCTAGTCGGTAGTGTACAAAGAAGTGCCCTATTTTGTGTTTCTTTTGAGCTCCCTTTGGAGCCAACGCAGGGTGCCCCTGAGAAGTGGGTTTGTAATTTCCATCGACCCCTGCTATTTGGCGTCGCGCTGACCGAAAAGTCGGTTCTACTCCGTAGGCCGTTTATTGCGAGATGTGCTTCTGGAGGAGCTACATCGGGTTTGCCTCGCATGTTCGGTGGCACGAGTGGACAGCTTTCTTGCCCGTAGCTTTAGGGTGTTGTCCATCTTCCCACAGAAGTGCAGGCTCGCGTCGTATTTGGACAGCGTCTCGTTGAGAAGGTTTCCGTGTCGTTTTGCGGCGGGTGTGCAGACAAGTGCGCGCGAAACCTGTGCTGCTGCTTGTCAAGTTCATGTTCCACCACAACAATCGCAAATGATCTGAACAATGCGCAAGCAACCCTTGCTTCTTGAATTGAATGCTGTCCCATGTTCAGGAATATGTAACTTACCCAAAGCTGCACGCTGCACGGAGCCTCGTTTGTAGACCTGGGCCGGCGCGGGGCGCGAGGTTGCTGAGCCCGGCGCGCCTTGCGTGCATCTACTTGCGTTGCGCCGGCGTTGCGCAATGGGACGCTGTCCATTGTGTGTGGTATTTGAAGCACCCCTCCCTACGGCAATAACGCGTACTGATGGCCGATGGCGCTCTGTCCTTTTAACTGCGTACCCGGTGGAACTCCAAGGCTGCTTCGCAGCGTGGCCAGCAACTGCAAGGTGGTCCTCCCTAGCTCTGGTTTTCTCCAAACCTACCGTTGAAAGCCACGAATTCAATCTTTGGCAAGGGAACTCATGTTGTACCACTTCAATACAATGTAGCTGAGAGAGGCATAGCGCAGGGTCAGGTCTGACCCGGTATTTGAAAGCCTTGCGCGCACTTTGCGTGTTGTGGATTCTGTTTTGCTTCGTCGTCCGTCGCAATGGGATGCTCCCTTCGCACCTAGCTGCTTCGCCAGTAGGTTGCCGAGGGGCCTTCGTAGCGCGCGCCTGGCTTCACGTGTTGCGGAAAATATGCATCCGGAGCAAGCTTGGCGTACATACCTCTTGGCAGAGGGAGTGGCCAAATGAAGGCTCCAACCCCTAATTAATGGGGACAGCGTTGAGACCACAGGGTTTGAGTTGGAAAGAGAAAAGAGAGCACGCAGCGAAGCAGAGTAGCATTTGAGTGTTGTTTGTGGTGTATGATAGTGATGAGTCTAGGGCAGGCTTGTGTGCCATCACAACATACATCTGCGCAGTACATAAAAGCCAAAACGGACAGTGGAGTTTCTGTTCCCACCCAACCCACCCTTATAGCGGGCCCCCCACGATGTGTCCCGCTATTTGAGGTGTCTTGGCATCAAGGAATGCTTTGCGCTTGTTGCCCATGTTCGGGAACTTGGTGCCCATACCTTTTGGCAGAGGGGCTCTTGTGTGACGGGAGCATACCAACGCCCAATCGCTGGGAACAGCGTTGAGACCACAGGGTTTGAGCTGGGAAAAGAAAGAGCACGCAGCGAAGCGGAGTTTGAATGTTGTTTGTGATGCAGGTGTACTTATATGTGTATATATGTGTGTATAATCATGTACCAAAAGGTGTCAAATTAAAGACACACACACACCAGCCAAAACTCACTGCCAGACTCTCTGCCAGTGAGTGTTTCCGCTGGAGGCTTTTGGAAGAGTTGCCCCGCCTTGTTGTGACCTGCAGAAGAGAGCAGGGCTGCCAGGGGCTCAGGCCGAAAGTTGTTGCAACAAGTGGCCCCTAATGTTTTGACAACAGGCTTACTGGTCTTAATGCCGTCCGCAGGACTTTGGGGTTGCTAGATCTGAGATCATGACTCGCCCTTGAACTTTTTGAAGTGTTCAGAAACTAGCAAGGTACCACCTGCAGATGCTGCAGGGTAGCCTGAACAGCCCACAGCAGAACCTTAAGTTGCGTGGATTTGAACCTGGCAAAGCCGCAACCTGACTAAAAGCAGTTGTCAGTAGCCCAGGACCACCTTGGGCCACAGCGATCCATTCCAATCGTGATTTTATAGCAACAGAAGGCTGTTTTTCTTCTACTCCATGCTACACACTCACAAAATTTTGGCAGGAGTCAGGTCTAGCCTACGCGCTCCAAGATGGCATTTTGTTTCCAATATGATCATTTGTTCGCTTCAGTGCCCTGCTTGTCAGGAACTCTACGCGCGTCTTTCTTTTGTAGTCTCTGTTGGGTTTTGTGGTTTGTGATGGCTTTGGTCGCTGTTTTGCTTTTCGTGGGTTCTTAGCGTGTGATGGCTGCTTGGTTTCTTCTCAGCGTTTGGGGCACGCTTCCGCTGTTCGTCCCGACGCGCTACACGTTTGCGATTTCTGATGAAAGGCACGCCTATCCGGCTTAACAGGCGATGTGTAAGTTCTTCATTTGTCACTGGTTTGACTGGTGGAGAAACCAGACCAACCGAACTGAACACAGCTAGTCAAAACCAAACACATTATTTGATTGCGCCCATATGCTCAGTGATTCAGCAACTATTGTAATTTCTCTTGCTATTCAACGCCTTTATCACTTTGTCAACGGCACTTCACAGGGTTAAAAAGTTGGATCGGGCCTCCCAGCTTGGCTACACATCCGACCTGCTTCTGCAGCCATTTGTTAAGGGCAGCTAGGAAAGGCTCTACAAACGTACTGGGCTAAGCAATATGAAGCTGAATAATCAGGAAGCCCAGCAAGCCTGACCTAACCACTGCCCAAATTCAAGTGCTGTAGGAACTTGCCAAATGGAGACCAAACTTAGTTAACTTGCGACGTTTTGCAAGTTACCTTAACACGCGAGCCCAAGCACACGAGGTGCTGTAAACCACGAATCCAAAAGAAAAGGTTCCCTGAAGAAGACATGTTAAGTTTCCCTGAAAATCTAGAAACCAAATCATTAGTGTGAGCATGGCATGAGTGAATACTTAGCCGCGTGGTATGTCTTTCTTGGAGGGACTATCAGTAGGCTCTGCAGCGTCATATCGGCTATCTCGAGCAAGCAGCTGAGCAGTGGGGTTTCGCGCAGAACAAATGATCAGTGACAAATCCCACTTGAGGGTCTATGCTCAACGCGCCCCGAAGGGATCACACAGCACACCACAGTGGGCTTGTTGAAACCTTCTGTTCGACCGACCCAGCACTCCATACCGTTGAGCCAAGTCAAGGTCTACTTACAGTAATGGTCTACTTGCAGTAACGCTGGAGTTACCACATGTGTACAGTTCAGCAGGGGGCCACTCCACCCACCACAACGAAGAGCCTGGTGGTGTGGTGCTGAGAACGTACCTGCTTTTGTCACTCCTGGGCGCAGTTAAGACGCAGCTGGATGTTGACCAAGCTGTCCATTCTACTTTTCTTCAAAGGGCTAATGCGTTTCGTTGAAACCTTCTGTTCGACCGACCCAGCACTTCATACCGTTGAATCAAGTCAAGGTCGAACTGCGTGTAAAGGTCTACTTGCAGTAATGCTGGAAACTCCAAACTGATTCAGTTCTTGCGAGCATGGATCTAAGCAAGTGTGTGTGTGCGCCTCTCGAAGCATGTGCGCAGAACACCTGCCGGCATTTTGTAGTTTTCGCCACGCAGCGTAATAAACTCCTTCGCCAAGTTGTGTGCATTTGTGGATGATAAGTGGTTTTGGAGCTTCCTACCCAAAGCTGTCTCCTTTTTAAACCAACAGTTTTTGAGCTTTTTTCGGGTTCGTTGAACACCGCGAAAAACAAACATAATGCCCAACTGTGTTCTGTATGCAAGATCTTTGTAACGCAACGCACGGCAGTGTGAAGCAGGTTGTGACGGACTGCGAGTCAGTTGTGTGAGCATGGCAGGCCAGAGTTGTCCACTTTATAGTTTGAACAGGGGCGTATTAATCCTTCAGTGTTTGGTCAGGAAATGAACTGATGTCCCTGCTGACCACTCCAGAGTCCACATGCGATGAGCTTCGACAGAAGGCTGCAGAAGTGCCTGAATCTCGGAAGAACGCATTGACACTTTGCGCCCCAAAGCCTGCTTGTGACACTTGGTTTAGAGACGTCAAACAGAAACCCTTATAGTGAGGTTGAAAGTGCCCAAACTCCAGCTGAAACTCTTGACGCCTGGATATTCTGGATCTCGCCCGCAAGAACTTGTTGGCAGCCCTCGCCTAGCAGACTTGCTATGACTGCTATGACAGCCAAGCTGCTTCACAGCAGGCGCTCCTCGCACATATCAAGCTTAGGATTTGAATGTTCATCTTCCATGGCAAATGCCTAATTTCTGGCAGCCTTAATTCTGCGGCGGGCATGTTTGACGCTTCCTGCTTTGGTCCGCAGTCCGCTACCCACGTGGAGCACTGTACATAGTGGCAATAGTTTCTTTCCTTGACTCGGAGCAATTGATTGTGAAAAAGAAGCTCGCAAGAGTACCACAACTGCTGCACAAAACGGTTTCCAGACTTCTTTAATTTTGCGAGTATATTTATACATATATATATATTATATATATATATACATATCGGAGTCGGAGAAGACTCATCCTCGTGCTCCACTCCTGTAAGGTTCTGGCCCACGGTGCCAATCCGCGCAAAGTGATTGCTATGACCCCTCAGTGCACTTTTTGCACTAGGCGCTGCTGGCTGTATAGATGTTGACCAGCGCTGCTGCAGCATGGTTATATGTAGTGGTTATATGTAGTTTGGGTGATATGTTTAATGAACCTTGGCTACATTGCTGTGGCAGGGATTGACAAAGTGACTGGTGATTCTGTTTGGAGATATGACGAGGTCAATACTCAAACACGAATCATGCAGCCCTGAGCTGGACAAGGCTCCCAAAGCAAATCAAAGAAGACAGGCGCTATGACGTGCTTTGACACCGTGTTTGCTGAGGCAAGTCCTCAAAAATGATAAGTTCTGGGCCTGCCTGTGTCGACCACCACCATATTCATTGCCTGAGACAGAACCTCAAGAGACTTGCATAGATTGTTGGAAGCCTGCAGCACTGAGCTCCAAGCGTTTATTTGCTTGCATTTGGCAGGGATGAGTCCCAGAAAGTGAGAACATCTAACGGTCATCAAACGGTTGCGAGTGATTACTTACCAGCTAAGCAGAACACTTGTTATTTCTTAATCTTGGTAGCATGTCGTCTCGCGACAGTGTTGCAGTGAATGCGACGGCTGACCAGAGTCTTGCCAGCACTTACAAGGAAGACTTGCGTTCCAAGACTTGCTTGTTGATAGACTCAGTGGAACGCCAAGTGACCCCACAACACCTTGCATTGCTTGTAAGACTTTGCACACCAACCACTCCTACAATGCCTGGGTGTGTTTGTGAGCTATATAGATCGAGCTCAGCCTCGGGGTCACTTTGTATGCACACAACTTGGGCAGAGCCTGACTTGCAAAGCACATTCAGAAATCGCACGCGTACAGAGCGCTTCCAGATAGTTGAGAACTCTTGAGGAGGCCACTTGAAGAGAGCTTTCCGCAACGTGACAAAATCGTCTCGTGTCTGTGTCTTGGCGCTCGCCAAGTCACTCCAAGGTGCCAAGGCCCGGTCACTAGATGTGAGTTTGGGACCTGTCCAGCCGCAGCGCGAGGTTTCATCAGGTAATCCCAAAAATGGATCTTGCCCCCCAAGCAGCACGCTGAGCAACCGGCCAGTGCCCTTGCACATCACATGCAATGCAACTGCTGGGATACTTGGGGCGACTTCAACCAACGAGTACGTGTGGGGAGTGTCTTATTGATTCCAAGCAGCACGCTTCCACGTCTGGCTTTAGCATTTGTCTTTCGCAAGGACCCGGACGAAGACCAGGGACTCTGAGCGGCAGGACTCAACGCTTTCGTTTTCGAGCGTCGATCGTAACTAAATTCCACTTGGACTTGCTGCGAGTGTCTAGTATCTACTTGTAGGAGGTTATACGAGATGAACTCTCTCGGATATCGTCAGAACTGCCGAGCAGAGGCGTGGGTCAATTAGTCAGGTGCCGAAAGTATGAGTGCTGATATTACAAGGTCAAGATGAGTGTTTGCGAGTCCCCAGATCTCCTTCCAGATCCCCTTGGCTAGGTTCTTCAAACGGCCTGCGCGGCACAGTCCGTGGTCTGATAGCCGAAGAGCTGAAAAGTGTCATCCTGGCTTTTTCGTTGCTTTGCTTTGTTTTGCCTGTTCCGATGAAGTTTGGACTGGGAGAAGCGTCGATCGCAAATCATCACGTGGCAGGTCCTGTCCAAGAAGTCCCTGACAGTCCAAGAATCTCCTAGCTCTTTTGTTCGCGAATGCTTGGAACTGCAGCCTGTTCGAGATGCACAAGGCAAGGCTGCTTTTGCGGTTGGATCTCATTATTTGTCGCGCTTACAGGTGGAGGTGAACCTGTGGGGGTGGCGTGCTTGCCATTCCTTGTCTTCAATACCGATAGGACACATGCACAGCTGTTGTTGTTGTTGTTGAGGGGAGGTTCCTTGCTTCTGGAATTGAAACCAAAGCCATGGCCTGCTTTGCAGGTGCCTTTTCTATGTAATTACAGTATACTGTATTACAGTAACTGTAACTGTAAGTGCTAAGGCCTGTTGTGTACTGGTCGTTATAAGGTGCTCATCACCATCATCTCACGTCTCCCTGCCCTCTGCACAGGAGCGCGCGCGCTCTCTCTCTCTCTCTCTTTCTTTCTGCATGTTCCATTGTATTTCTCCGGCGTATGCTGCAACCTCACTGAGACTTGTAAAGAACGTGGAAAGCCATTATGCAGAAGAGTGCCTCAGTGAAACCTTTGCGATTGCATTTGCTGCTTTGGCATGAAATTGGAGCTCCAAAACTACGCGTCAAATAGTGTGTTTGGTCAGCTTTGGTGACCTTTGTGCATTTCTAGTGGCTCCGTGTTCTTTGTCGAGCACCTTATGAAAGCATTCTGCGTCAGGCAAAGGCATTTTGTTCCCTCCCCTCCTTTGCTTGTTAACATTTGATGGCTTGGTGTTCGTCATATGCGGAATTTGTTTTTCCTTAATTATGTCCCGCCTTTATACAATTTTTTACTCTTGAGCTTGCATATTTGCTTCCCATGGACACCAGCAATCTTTCAGCAGAGTCACACTTGTCATTTTCCAAGAAGTCCAGCAATGTCACTTGTTGGTCTTGAATAGGTCTAGAGTCTATTGTGAATAAGGATGCCAATCATGCTGCAAGAACAAAGCAATTTCGATCTCGCATCCTTCCCCTGAGCCTTGCAAGGCACACGACCCACTCTGAGCAGGTCGTCTCTGTCTTTGGATTCACCACCTTTCGCAGTGCAGCTTGGCCATGGTGAACAAGCTTGGCTCTACTTCTTGTTCCTAGTAGCTATTTGCTACTAGTAGTAATGCCCTTTGTTACTAGTAGCGATGCCCTTGTTCCTAGTAGCAAACATGTTCTGGTCTTTCAATTCGAACAGCCTGGACGTGTTCAGGAAACATGGAGAGTTTACTCGAAAAATTCAATACAGACGTGGCGCCGCGACCTTACACAAGACTCAGAAGACTCTGCCTAACTCTCGCGGGTGCAAATATCGATCATGCATGATCATGGAATATCATCCTTTTCTGACAAGCAAAGCCTGTGACAAGGCGCACACATGATTTGACGAAAGAGTTGCTGTGCCCGTTGTGTGCGGATCTTGGCCTCTGCAGGTTGGGGGTGTCCTACCGAAGGACCCACCTAGCTGGCCCACGGACACCAGCACTGCTCCTCTCCTTCCTTCGAAATATCGAGAGCTGTCCTGGTGGCTTTGGGCATCAACAAATCCAGAGTACCAGATCCATCCAGAGGCAAAGGGTGCCAGCCGTTAAGTGAACCAAGAACACCAAAGACCAAACACAACAGAACCTCACACATTCGTCATGGCTAGTGGGAGACACTCTATTGCAAGGTCGTTCAAGGTTGTTTCGAACTTGGAATGGAGGGGTTAAATTGCCCAGGAGACGCTCGGATTGACTTTAAACCGACAGTTGGAGATCTTCGACAAACAGGTTTACAAGTCTTACAAGCTTGCGATTGCTTTGCAACAGGATGCAACAGGTATATTACTAGTTTGTCGACGAAAGACGTTCTTTTCCAAATATGTTTCTCATCGGAAAGGTTATCGAGTCCTCAGTGGCTTGCTGGTGCAGGTGGTGGAGCTTCGGCATCAGTACCGTTGGCACAAAGGCGTGTTTCAATACTCCATTCAGGATGAATGAGGGCTTGTCTTCATTTGATTAATACCATTGAATACCAGTCAGTATGCTGGAATCGGTTGACTGGTCAAGCAAAGCTAAGGCGCCGGACCAGACACTCGGATCTTCATGAACCCCAAGGACGTTGGTATCGTTTGAGTCCTAGGCGGCACGTCTATGGTTCCACTGCCCACGACATCTGCGTCTTCTTGCCTTTGCCAGGATGATTTTATCGAGTACCGTCGTGCCAAGTTCCAACCTGGCAACAAACTTACCATGCGTACTGGAAGTGGGAGCATGTCCTCCAAAGCATGAGGTTATGCACGATCAGATAGTTCAAGATGTTTAAGTATAGGTTTGGGTAGCACAAGTCCCCGACCGTTTCACGCTTGCTTGGCGGTATCCAGAATGGATTTGTCGTGAAGCTCAGCTAACGATTTCAAATTTCAACAGCATTATTCGTTTCGACTGCCACTGGCAGTGCTGTTAAGTGCCCTGAGGGACGATTCACGCTTCGCAGAAAAGACTTGGCATTCTTGACGAGGGTCATGGACATGGAGCTTTCCCGGTACAGTAGAGCTGTGATTTGTTGGTTGCATCACACTTTGACAAAAGCCACGACGTAAATCAGTGTGGTGCAGACGAATCCCAAGCAAACAATAGCAACAGCCTAACTATACAGTTACATGGTTCCTGACCCGTATTTCGCTGTGGCCCCTGCTTGAAACTATTCGTTTCAAATTTATGAAACATTTTGGCTTGCAAGTGCATGAAGCATTTCTTTTTCCTCTTCTCTTTCAGCGGTTCTTCTTTTCCACCTTGCCAAGCTCAGCCAACAGCTCGTTTGGCCTGCATGGTGCAAGAATCTTTGCCACATGCACTGAACTGCATCACCAACTTACGGATCAACGTGGAATAAATCTATTCAGACTTTGCCACCCACGATCCGCAATCTGCGTGCCAGCCACAGTAGAAATTGTTTCTACTTTTGGTAGGAGTGGTCGAAGTATGTCGAAGTATGAAGGGTAGCGTAGAATTTGGCAGGGGGCGTAGCGTAGAAGTGGTAGGCCAGAAGTATGAAACGTATTGTGCAACGGGCACTTAGAGGAGAAGGATGGCGAATGTTAACATCCCAATCCATCCCACCCCACCCGAAGGAGGCAGCATAGCGTAGGAGTGGTAGCAAGAAAAGCAAGGGACCGATGAGCACCCGCCCAGAAGACAGACAACATGCGTGAAAACAACAATAAAGTAAACACGTGAAAAAAGACACACGGTGCGGCAGGGGTCGTGGTCCAACTACATACTACTATGATCAACAATCTTTGAGACCCAAGAGATTCTGGTCAGGGACAAACAATGTAACAAGTACAAGGGAGATTCTACAATGCATTTGCAGAAATTCCCTGAGAATCTAATTAGGAGCAGTTTCGGACATGCAAACCCGAGCCCTTCAGCGCCCGTGCTACTAATAGCTTCCTGTTATATACGGTGTAACTGACTTCTTGCTACGAGCTATCTACCTGCTACCTACCCTGTGTCTCCTACCCTCCTCCTACACCCTCACCCCCTCTCAAAGAGAAAAAAGACAAGGCAAGGTTCTTTACCGTTCCCTTACCCAGCTCTTTTGCAAATCCTTTTGACAGGCGCCAATGATTCAATGCTCAGCTAGCTGGAGGAGGTAGGATGCTGCAGGGCGCTAGATAAGTTTTCTAGAGAATCTAGGAACCACATCATTAACTCGGGCTTCTTCAAGGAAGCTCTCCCTGCCTAATGCTCGGGTAAGCCCTGGTGCTGGGATCATGTTCGTGAATGCTGTTTGGTTTTCGGGAAATGACGGGGGCCACCTTCGACGGTATTGTTTGTGTTGTCATTGTCATAGGCGGTTCTTTTGTTAGGATTGGGTAGTGTGAAGTGTCCCCCCCAGACAGAATCCTTGTTTTTGCGGAACGATCCCCTTTTTGTAGACAAAGGTTGACATTTGCACCCGGTTGTGGGCCCAGAGTGTGTGACCAGAGTATTTCTTTCATCTAGCCAGTTGCCTTGTTGAACTGTAGCTTAGCAGCTTACCTTTATGATCCTTTATGTTTCGACTTGTTGACTTTTCTCAGCAAGGACGCTACTAGTAGCTCCTGGCATCGCTACTAGTAACAAAGGGCATCGCTACTAGGAGTGAGGACGCTACTAGTAGCTCCGTTACTGCTTGACTCTTGGAAATCGTACTTGGTGCATCATGGATACTACTAGTAGCAAGGACGCTACTAGGGGCTCCTGGCATCGCTATTAGGAACAAGAAGCTACTAGGGGCTCCTGGCCGTACTACTAGGAGCAAGGACGCTACTAGGGAAATCGTACTTGGTGCACCATCGGTCCTTCAGACCTTGGAGTACTTTGTGGATTCCATCGAGGGCGGATCGTGCTGCGTAGAACCACCGACGCACGGGAAGTAACAAGGTCGTGCTCAAAATGCACCACGCCGGGGTTGGGACCACTTTAATCAACATGCGCAACTGTTTTCACAGGACTTTAAGAACAAAGATGTGATATAACTATATATAATTATATATATATATATTAAAACGAACACAAACACACAAGTTTGAATCTGCCCGGCCTGCAGAGCATTCCTCATGTCCAAGAAACATAATTTTCCGAGCCCGGTGGGTTGCTTGTGTACTTTGTAGCTTGCATTTGGCCTGCGTCGCACTTTTTCAGGTGGTGGTGCTGAAATTGAGCTTGCTTTGCGCCAATCTTTTCATCGGCCGCAGGCTCGTGTCCTGCATTCTTTTCGAAACCGAAGCCAGCAGCCAGGATCCTTCAAACCAAGATGATGCCTGGTAAGTGTTTGGGGGGACAATGCCACCTTGAACATAGCTATACATCAAACAGCTTGGCCTCTGTGGGGGTGTTACGTTGAGATTCTAGCAGAAAATGCACTATCAATTCAAAAGATATCGGCAGGAGTTGCCACATTTGCAGGAAACACCTTCCTTCCATTTTCCCTGATTTAAAGTAGGTTCAATCAATCAAGCAAAAAGATGCCAATGTTGGCATGTACAAGTCAAGCACAGCTGCAGCGCCGGCTGTATCTCAGCCTTCAGGATGGAGCAACTTCGAGATGTTTGTCCCGTACCCCCGTAGATCACTTGACAGGCTGACTCCCTGACAAAGTTTCCGACGAGTCTTTTGGCAGATCCGACCGGTCTTTGCACCACAGTCTGAGGCAAACCAAAGATTGGTAGCAGTGGTAGCAATCATTGCCACTTTGGTTCCCAGAGGCGGTGGGCGGTACTTTCAATTTCATGTTTGTTGTTGACTCAGTCCCACATCCTACGCCGCAGTGAGTGGGAATTGGCCGGATATCTTATGCGAGTGCCAGGGGATGAACGCATCACAGACTCAAACTATTTGTGATGCCTTGAGAGGTTCAAAGTTGAATGAGTAAAAGAGTTGTGATTTCCTTGGCCGCATCAATTCTTTGTCAGGCACCCTGGAATGACTTTGAATCTCGGGTGCCTTTTGTGGGCGCAGCACGAGGCAGGTTTGTCAGCAATACTCCCATTGGCTACACACAGTTGTTTGAGCTTGAGAGCATGGATTACGCGTATTGTGAAACTCTGTCATTTGCAAATAGTCTTTTTTGGTAAGCGCCATCTGCAAGGTGAGAGGCATCTCTGGTGGAGCACAGCTTTGGACAAGCCATGTGGGGAACAGCTGGATCTACCAAGCAAAATGACAGAACAAAAAGCGCTTGCCAGCTTTCCTTGGTTGCAGTGAGCTTTTCTGGTGGTCATGTCCTGCTTGACTTGGTGGAAACAGACTTAATCAAATGACTTTTAGTGAATAAACAACTTCTGAGCCAAATTGGGGGGCAAACTCCTCCTCAGCTAAGACAACGTCATTGCTCAGAAACCTGGTCACATCATCCTCACTTTTGGCTCACCACTCGAGCAAAGTTTGGATGAGAAAAAAGGCAAACTGGTGCCTTCGCAAAAGCACACGTTGAACAGACTCAGCTCACGGAGTTTCGGCGCCGGGGGTGATTGTCGCAAGCTGCGTGGAGTGCTGGTGAAAGTCATCAAGCGGTTGACACAGGGTAGTGCAAGTCAGTGAGTCAGGGTTTCAAAGCACTGTGATGGCTGCCTCAGGTTTGTGCTGGCTTCTCGTGTGGTTGCAGTTACATTGGGGACTGTTACCGGGGCGTCACAGCACATTGCAGGGCGCGGCAGGTTATATAGCATTGGTTCTGGGGCCGCACTTATTTTGGAGATTTCAAGAGACAAGTCTAGAAGAGTAGAGGCTTCCGGAGCCAAGCTAGAAAAGTCAATCTACAGCCGCAACGAGACATGCAGAGCGTTGGAGGATTCTAGAAGAAAAGTATCAAAAGGCAAGCTAGGTCAGCTATGTCGAGAAAAAAGCAATGAGAACAGCAAGAAAACAACAAAAATAGAAATTTCGAGAGACAAGTGTCGAGAAGTAGGGATTTCTATTGACCAGCGCAGAAACGTGGAGCTTTATACAGAAGAATAGAGATTTCTACAGAGACATGAGCAGTAGAGATTTCCAGACACAGTAATGTAGACAGTCCTAATCACAAGTATATAACCAGCATAGACAAGTAGAGCCACTTCACCACAACACCAATGAACACAGCACAATGTCACTTTGGGCATCGCCCAGGAGCAAGGACGCTACTAGGGGCTCCTGGCCTTACTACTAGGAGCAAAGGGCATCGCTGCTTTGGGCCAATTCTTGGACACTTCGGTCACCGACTTGTGGATGTAGTCATAGTAGAAAAGGTTTGCTTTACTTCAGGTGGCCAGCAACCAGCGCATCGCTGCTCTTGACTCTTGAGATTGTTGTACACTTTCCAACCTCAAGCATCGCTAGAACGTTCTTCACATAGAAAAAGCTGGAGGCTTGAGTTCAACAAAGTGACGCAAGGCATAATTCGGGAAGTCAGTCAATTGCTTGAGAAACCCCCACAAAAACACGCACAAGTTACATATTTGTCAAAACCTCCTACAAGCAGCAAAACACCCGCCGTGACACCATGCGCATTTGGTTGCTTTTCTCCATTTTTCCTGTTGCGTTGGCCTTCACCAGCTCGCCTGTGATCCGTCAAGTATCGAAGACGAGTACTGCAAAAGCATCAAAGAGGAGCTCTGTCAAAGCGACCTGTGATGGACTTCACTACTTGCCATGTTTCTTGGCGGCTTGGGGATTGAGCGGAATTGGTCGTGGTCGTGGGAAAACCTGCATGTATGGTCTTAAGGATCGAGTGAAGAAGAATTTTAGTGTGAAAAGCGCTATGA